AAGTCGTTTAATTTTCAATAGATGCACCGCCAACCACATTAAATGGAAAACAGATAAAATAGGGGAAAATCTACAGAAAACAAAAGCATTTAATTAGTTCATACATGTATATTGTGGGTATAGGTATTGTTGGTAAATAGTTGGAACTGGGGTGCTATCACCTCAGAAACTGAGTCATTTACGCATTCGAACAGTGCGAAAATGTAAAGGTTATTGTAAACAAAATTTTTATGTGGCGTAGTTAAATATTTCCATGACTTTTAACGCCTTCAACTGAAACTAGTGTTATAATAAATAAAAAAAAATAAAAAAACAGTTCCACAAAGACCAAGAGAATATTGACAACAAGTCGCCAAAGCGGAAACCACGCATATTGATGACAAATTCACTGCGAATTATCGACGCCATTCAGAAAAGTTTGATTATTGAACGCAAGGACGTCCGCATTTTCTCTCTGCAGTGTTACTGTTTATCAAAGAGTTTTTGGCCTTCAATTTTCGTCAAGTCACACAACCAATACGATAAAATGAAATTGTCCAATTAAAAAGCTATAATATTTATAAGTAATTAAGAGCATTATTTATTTTATGATGAGGAAATGCAATAGGAAGAAGCACATGTTCAACAATTTTACAGCACACATCAAGTAAACAAAATATTCCCTCTTTTTATGAAAAAAAAAAAAAAAACAAGAAAAATATTAAAAATAAATCAGCAACAAGTCAACAAGTATAAGACGGATGTGTAATAGATCAATGAAAAATAAAAAAAAATTTAAGCCCATTTTTTGAATATGCGAGGTAATAGTGTAATAGTTCTCATGTGAGACACCAACTTTCAATATATTCAGATTCAAATCCTTTTTCAAAATATTGTGAAAAAGAATTTGAAGTATTTAATTCGCCCATCTTTTACCACTTGAACTTAGACGTGAATGTTATACACGTCATCTACTGTTAGATACAAAATCCAGTTAACAGCTACGAAAGTAGAATAAATAATACTTTCCTTGAAGTAGTATAAAGGACCCCTGTAATTTTTGTCTTTAAGTATCTTAGCTTAATGCTTTTAACTCACTAAATCATTGTTGATAGAAATATAAAAGAATAGCTGAAATAGGTCCACTGTTTAGAAGATTGGGACAAAAAAAAATGGTGCATGTGTATTGGATGTTGTTTAAACACTTTTTCTATAGCAACGTAGATCTAGCCAGAAGCAGACCAAATTTCTTAGACAAATACGTCTTGCTAGCATTAAAATGATAAACGTTATACGCTTTAGCAGTATATTGAAATAGCTCCATAAATAACAAGCACTTAAGTTTCCATAATAGGTAGTACATAGTATTATCATGGACCCCTGGGGTCTTAGTGAGTTGGTTAACTTGTCCAACTACCACAATAACCTTATTTAAATTGTAGATAATAAAACAGTAGTATCACAATGGGTCTGTAGGATCTAAATGATCTAAGTAATCTAAGTAGTAGAATCTAACTTGGTTGACTTGCCTAACAATAACCTACTCAAATTAGAGATAATGATACTATTTACTTGAAAAGTGAAAATATTGTTAACTTAATTGTCACTTAGAGCCTTAACTTTCTCACAAATACTTCTAGAAAGTCTTAGAGTAGAGCATATATATCTGATCATGTACTAATTCTATCTCTTTCTGGTCTACATATTTCTAAATTTAAAAAATACTATAATCAATTATGCATCAAATTTATTTAATTGTAAATAATGTTAATTAAATTTTTCTTAAGACTCTAAAGAAAAGAAAGAAATCTTTTTTAATAAGATAAGAAGCTGATAAGTATTACAGATACTCTTAAGAAATATTTGCATCAATATTTCTAGCAAGTCAAACATACAGTACAGTGCATACATACAGTAGAGCATAACTTTCTGATCATATGTCCATTCTATCTCTTTCTGGTTTACCTATTTCTAAATTTAAAAAGTTCTATTATCAATTATAATGCATCAACTTTTTTTAATAGTAAATAATTTGATTCATAAGAGCACAGGAATTTAATTTAAACATTGTAAGTTTTCTTGACAATCGTCTTAACAATAGTAAAACAGCAGCAATAAATAAATAAAATTTGTTTATCTAATTATATTTTCTTAAAATTACTAACAAATACTCGCAGCTATCGAAATAAAAGCCACAATATTAAAATTATAAATAAAACAGTGAACGGAGGAGGCGAGGATTTCTTAATCTATTTAGTGTGATTCTGTTTTTTTTTCCTATTTGTATTATTTTTAATTGACCATTTGTCGCGAGATTCTGTGGTGAGATTGAGAAAAAAACTATTTTTTGTTTAAGTGGTGAAATAAACTTGAAAACTTAAAGATTATATTGTGGTTAGTATACAATAATCAAGTGCAAAATTATAGCCTTGCACTACGGATTCTCCTCCGTTCGTTATACCCATTGAGTGGTTGATTGCTTGATACTTATTGCATCTGTTACTTCTTGATTTGTTGGCTTGTGTATCGCTTGAGATACTTATCGCTAGTCTTATTATTCAACTTGTGTACGTCATTGAGAAAAAGTGAGGTGAAGTATTGCGGAAATTGAAATTTCTCGGTCGTGATTAATCGAGAAGAAATTTTCTACTTGTATACATTTTTGCATTATCTACAGCAACAATTCATTGGAATTGTACCAATTGGCTTTGTGGTACAATTTTAATGATGTCAGAATTACTCTTCTTTTTCATAGTACACAAAAATGTTGCAGTAAATTAATATAAGGGGATTTTACCTTCCTTGAGTGAATGTGTCGGGAATATTTTTCCATTTTTTGAGAAAATAAAATTAATTCACACAGTTCACGCAATTTTTCAGTGTCAGAAAATAAAAGTCTAATATTATCAGTATAAATATTTCATTCATAAAATTTTTAAATTAGTTGTAAATTCTATTTATAAATATATTTATACAATATATAGATCTTTTCATTTTATATTGCAGAGAAAGTGGGGAATTTTCAATATTGCAGTTTTGACATTGAAAATGTCTTTTGTGTTATTACACATAAAAATTATATTGTTTTTCTTTTAATCGAACAGTGTCCACTAAAAACTATTATGGCATTATAGGTATATAGTGATGTATGTATAATACAGATTAACTGTTAGGTTAATTACTGTTTGTTGTATAGCCAGCTGGTTGTTAGCTGCTATTCCTTTGAAGCTATTTATAATTTTATTATTTTTTAAGCAATGTTAAAATTATTAACTCGTTGTTATCTTGCAGTTTCCGTAAAGGTTAAAGGATACTACCAGCATTTACTAGTATGGCCTAAGTAGGTAGCAGTGACATAAAACTTTTTTAAAGGAAGAAAATTTAAATTCTATAGATTTTTCATCAAACTGTGCTTCGAAATGATATTATAGCATAGAATAATGACAAACTCTGTCAATTGCTTGAGCGAAAAAATGGTAAGATCTTTTGTTGTCTACAAGTTAGTGACAGGTTCCGATTCGAATAAACCAAAAACTACCTAAGATTTACTCCAACATTTTAATTATTATAACGAATTAACATGCAGAAGTTGAACTAGTTTGGTGAAGTTATGAAGATGGATTTACCGGAAACGATGTTTGTAATGGCTGTTACAGTAAGAAGACGAAATGAGAAAGCCGTAGTTTTAATGGAGCATTAAAATTAAGGGAGCATTAAGCGTATTTAACGTAGGAGATTAAAAAAGACAAAGTGACATTTAAGCCAAATCGAAATCCAGTAACGAATTGATATGATCAGTAAAGATTATGTAAATAAAGATTATGTAAATAACGATTATGTAAAAAAAAATATTATCCGTCATATTTAAATAATTTAATTTAAAAAAAATTTATTCGCTTATTTTTCATCACTACTTTATAGTTAAGGACACTTAAGTGAGTCTCACTTAAAAAATGAAAAATTAGATATATCTATCTAGAAAATATTATAATGCGGAGATAAATGTGTTTGCTTTTCATTCTATAAAGTTCTGACCTTATATATATAGTATACATGTTCGTATAGGCTAATTTCATATAACATCACTTCGTCACTTTTTCTTTTACATTAACACTGACCATCTCTACCTTAAAGTCTTTAGATATTATTGCATTCATCAAAGCGTTTACTGCATTCATAAAGTTTTAAAAAGCCTAAAGATATTTTAAGCTGCTTTAATTTTTAATTTGTCATTATATTTATAAATTATATATTATAAGACAAATATAAAATATTTGTTATATTTTATAGGTCAATTTTATTTTAATTATATAGTAATGATTTGTTAACTTATTGGTTTAATTAAGATATTATTTAGAAAATCTACCTGATAGTATTTCAATTTAGTACAATTCCGATTTCCCGGGAACTTCGATTTGAGAATGCATTTGACTACAGTCGGCTGTTTCAAGAAAACAACTACGCTATATGCGGATATAACTTAGTTCTTGAGATATTGATATTCAAATTTGTAAACTTTTTATATTGATTACACTAACAAAAACGTAGCTTGCCCTAATACAGACTATTTCTAAATTAAGTATACAAAAGACGAGTTACAAATCAACGCGCCAAATATCTTTATTGAAATCTATTGTCAAATGGGCGCATCCGAGCTTGTAATTATAAGTTGATATACATCTAATTTTTAAATTATTCTTCAAAGTAATGCATAAGCGGTACCCTCAGAAATGAGCCTCTCTGTAGTGGTAGTGTTTTAGTCTGTACACTATATATTAATATATAATAGAGTCTAGCTCGATAAAAACAAACTTATTTAATTATACTTCACTTCACTTAATACTTCACTTATAATAACCTTTTATATATATGTATAACTGCTATAATCATAGTTAATCATTGCATTACATAGATTCACATTAAATAAATTTAAATTTTCTTTCTGATAACTATTTTTCTTGTTTCATTAATTTTCAATAGCGACTTTGCCAAACACCTATGCATAAATTCACTTCACTCACCGGTATTTCTTTTAAATCCTTTGCAAATGCAGGTGGTCCATTGGCGATTAAGTGTGGCTCTTGTATTGGTTTCATGGGTGGTGGCAATTCTAAACCGGCTTCCTCTTCTGCCTCGAAATCTTGCTGTGACGTATTGTGATGTGATGATGAAGTTGCATGTTGTGATGTAACGCCATAAGTGGTTGTGGTGGTGTGAAGACCACTGCTTGTGGTTTCATCTTCGTGTTCAGCATGCTTTTGAGGCAACTAAAGGAAATTATTTATAAAAATAATTATATATGTATAAATAAATGTATTATGTAAAATTTTTATTTATACATTAAGACCGAAAAGTTTTCGGAAATTCTCATTTAAAATTCGCGCGCTGTATATTTTTCGATATTTTAAGTTTATGTAGTTTGGCAGCACTAACCACAATTACTATTCCAAAAATGAGCGCGATCTGTCAGACAGTTCGTTTACGGCAGCTGTTGAAACCAGTTCACCTCAGTAGTGCGTTGCGAAAAAAACAATGGAAAAAAATATTGGACAAAGAGTTTGCATCAAATTTTGTGTTTCGAACGAAATTTCGTGTGCAGAATCGTTGCGAATGCTACAAAAGGCTTATGGGGAATCAGTTTTATCGAAAACTCAAGTTTATGAGTGGTACAAAGCCTTTCAGGACGGTCGTACGACCGTCGAAGACATTTCGCAACGCACTACTGAGGGGAACTGGTTTCAACAGCTGCCGTAAACGAACTGTCTGACAGATCGCGCTCATTTTTGGCATAGTAATTAAGGACAGTGCTGCCAAACTACATAAACTTAAAATATCGAAAAATATACAGCGCGCGAATTTTAAATGAGAATTTCCGAAAACTTTTCAGTCTTAATGTATACATATATTTTTAAACTTACTCTTAGACTCTTCTCTGAAGTCTTCTTGATAAGTGATTTTTCAGTTGACGGTTTTTCCACCTTACTCTGTGACAATTTACGTAGTGGTTGAGGTAACCATTTGCGCCTGAAATTAGAAAAAATAATTTAAATAAATTTATATTAATTTTTATAAAATAATAAAGAGACATTTTTATTTTTATTAATTTTACAATAAACGATAACAAGTGATAAAAACCGAACTGAACTGAACCATTTGGATAACTGCAAACAATTAATGATGTTTTCACATTCGATACACAAAATCAAACATGTAAAAAAAATCTTAATTGCAAAAACAGTAAATAAAAAAACAAAAATAAAACGAGAAAAAAAACTAATAAAACTAATAAGAGTAATAATACAAAATACACTTATATGTATCTTATATGTATCTAGTATATATTCAGATGTGGTTTTAGTATTTACAACAGCATTCTATTGTCTATAGTATGATTTTTTTATATTATTTGTATAATATTTGCGCTGTGGTAGTTATTCGTATTGTTGTTTTTTTTTTTTCGTTATATCTATAACTGTGTGTTTAATCAAGGGAGACGAGCAAACAAACGCCTCCGCCAATATCAATCCAAAAGTGGCTGCCTAGAAGTGTCGACAGCATGAGACTGTCTCCGGTCTTAATAAAACAAAATAATAATGCCAATAAAACCACTGAAAACATTAAAAAGATTCTTTAAGTGTGCGCAGAGCGAACGACACAGTACCAGCACAAAACCATAGAGCTTACAGCCCATGGCCCATAACTCACACCTCATACCTCATATTTTGTATCAAAGTCAACGTGCAAAATAAATTATAATGATCGCGTGCTGCTGAAGAAAAGTGCTCTTACAGTGGGCAAATAGTAGTATCTAAAAAAGTAGCTAAGTATATATA